CTCGATATCACCTGATGCAATCTCTACGGGTCCTAAATTCTGCTACAAAGCGCTTTCCTAAGTCCTAAATTTTCACCATGGCTAAACTTTGGATTCCAGTGCTTTTCCTAAATCATAAATACTTCTCATCCCTTAATTTTGCCACTCGGTGTTTTCCTAAATTCCAAAAATTTCGTCTTTTCTAAATTCTGCCGTCCGATGCCGATATATTCTGCCACCGCTTCTGGGTTTATGGTGAATAACATATCAGTTATTCTTAATTAAAATAGCACTACATGTAATCTTTTGTCCTATGAGGTTTGTAAACAAAATCTATTTTTAGCATACGAAAAGAAATTTTTGTTGAATTTTTCCTGGTCAACATTTTTTAGAGCATTTAAAAATCTATAATCATCACCAAGCGTAATGTTAGCATAAAAGTTTGCCATACTCTTGTTATTCAAGTACTAATATAAAAAAATTTTTAGACATCACAGCATGAGTTATTACCAAAGCTGTCATGTATTGATAAACGTGCAGTGATGAAAGCAAAATATAATAAATAATGACTTGCCAGGTCAGCATCAGGAGTATAAAATAGGTGAATGTTTCGGTTTGAGATGTATGCCAAGTAGATACTCAGCTAGGGAGCCAAATTATTAATCTCACAAATTTATGCTTACATGATTGTTTTTCCATAACTAGGTATTTTATTTAGTGCCTAAGTGAAATTAAGAATCATAATTTTCGGAAAATCTACACATGCTTTATTATGGAACAAAAAATCAAATGCACATACGTAAAGCATTAATAAAAAAAAATGTTTGTGGCTTTGAGGTCCGGGTTTTAGATCATTCCGGATAATGGATGTCCGGATTTCAGACTTTGTACTCTAATATGTTTTTGTCTAAGGAAACATTAACTATTTTGAGAATGCGATATCATTATTACATAAAAATGGAGGAACAAAATAAGGAAACTTGAAGCAAATTAAAAAAGCAATCTTTATTAGCGATTTTAAATTTAAGAAAAATAATTTAATTTTTTTTCCTTCTTTAATGGTTGATTTATGACGTATAAAGTATATCATAAATTGAAATGCATTGGGAAAATCATGAAGCATATTTTTGTTTAACTTCTTATTTTCTAAGCTAGTAATATTAATAGTTATTTTTAATAACAAGAAGTAAAAGCCATTTTTTCCCTAATATAATTAACAAATTTCATGATATACGAATATATATGCCATGTTCACAGAAGTCCTTACCTCGCTTTTATTTTTGCTACCATTAGTCATCATACATATAGTTCCAAATACTAAAATGTTTTAAATGATACAATTATGCATGTTTCGGCATTTTTAAATTAAAAAAGTCAGTTTCATAAAAATTACAAAGCTGAACTTTTTACACATTTCTCCAGTCCATATACATCATACATTAGAAAATTTTTGTACTCGTTTTAAAATATGAAACGCAAAAAGTTTGATTCCCATGCAAAAATTGACAGAGGTATTTGAAGTGAAAATTGTAAATTATATTCAGGTGCTGTATGCAGATTGAAGAGTGAAATATTTTCTTTTATACATAACTAAAAATAAAATATTCTTTGAAAAGGTTTCTGATGTTAAGAGATTGTGCAACGAGCATTTCCATGCAGATTATTATGAAAATATTGACCAATATTATTATTATTTTTTTTGAAAAGGAGATTTTATTCTTAGAATCAGAGAATTTGTGTTCCAGAAAACCTCGGCAGACTTCAATAATATTGGCTGGAGCCCACTCATAATATTATTTGCATAAACAAAAGTGAAAAAAAATTTAATGAATTTTTAACGTTTATCAGATTATGATGCTAAAGTAATAAAACTTCGTGAGAATATTAATAAGATATTTTTATATAAAAGTTAAAATAGTTAAAGTTATCAATAATAGGAAAGTTATAAATATATAAAAAATAGTTGTAAATTACTTGTGTGAAAGTTCTTTGGGTATAACAAATGTAACAAAATTTCCTCCACAGTTGCCTTTTGTTGTTACTTCCAAAGTTCCATTTGCTTCTTGTTGAGCTCATTTTAATGGTTCTGTAGTTACTCCTGCATGTTTTCATTATTAACTTTCAAGATTACAGTCTTTTTTTCTTAAGAGATTAAAAAAAAATGTCCTGAGTATCAAAGCCTTTTAAAATCTCTACCTGTAAACACAGTTTAGCCATAATTTCCTGCTGACAGAAGTTGCTTGCTGCCAAGCTCTGTTAATAAAAGTTAAGCTAAAATATACACTAAAATGGTGCACTGTGTAAACATAAAAAGTGATGCACCAAGGAAGGAGTTGTCTAAAAAACACTAACAGTATCATAGCAATTTTTTGTTCAGAAAATACACTTGGAAGATTTAAAAAAAAATGATGAAACATTAACCCACTTCTGGCTGTAATGCATGTTGTTATTGGCTGGACATTGATTCTTAGAGTTATTGAGTGTCCTTCTCATAGACTGCTTGCCATATCAGTTCCTACTGGTGAGTCAAAATGGCATGATCCAGTGATGGTTGGTTATGCCTGCTCATCAGAGCACAAACAAACTCTGTTGGAGAGATATTTGGTGATTGCACTGGGGAGGGAAATGTTGAAGAAGCACAAGGACAAGCAACAAGAAGGTGTGTCATGTGTGGCTGGGCATGTTTTCTTTTGAAATGCAATCCCTGTAACTCGTGAAATGAAAAGGTAACACTACGGAGTGTAGAAATCTCATCAACATAATGCTTTGCTGTAAGGGTGTCTTTGATAACAATCACAGGGGTACAGGTATCAAATTAAATGGCACCCTGTACCATAACTTCTGGTTGTCAGGCTGTGTGTCTGATGAGAGTCAGGTAAGTATCCCACCACTGACTTAGACATGCTCAAGCGTGTCTTTAATGGTCATCAGGGCTCAGCTCGAAGCAGGACTCGTTGTTGCAAACATTTTTATTCCAGTCCATGAGATCCCATGATTAGTTGATATGAAGCTGTATCACTAGTGAATTTCCTGCATCTAGAAATTGATATATATGATGACAGCCTTTTCCCACACTCCAGTTGGAAAATATTAGATCTTTAATGTTGGTGATCTTGAATAATCTGAACAGGATATAATCCTAGTCGATGATTTTATTTAAGATCTTGTGAATGTCAGAATCTCTTTTTATTTTTAGTTTGTGGACATATTGAAAAACCTTAGATGATTTAGCTAGAGTTTTATTGTTTTTGTATATTTAAGAAAAAGATTGTCAAAAGTATATAAACTGTATGTTCTATTTGTAGGAGAAATAAACTGTTTAAAAAAATGGCATTTCATAGCTGCCAACTCCCCTAGCCTTATTGGGAGACTCCCAGTTTTTCATCACATTTCTCACCTCCTGGTAAAATTACCGAATCTCTTGGTTAATAATGTTTACCCTTTACTGAAAAAAACTGCTTAAGAAAATGTTTCATAGCAATGAATGAGACTGAAATTGTGCAAATTGCGCTCTGCTACCCTTGTGATTTTCAGCATAATTTTTTTTGATCAAAGTTCTCATCTGAATTATCATAATTTACTGTCAACATCTATAGAATTTTTACAAAGGTTCAACCAGTGATTAATCAGCTAATATTTGTATTTAATCTTGTTTTGTATCAATAAACATTACATTAGTAAGTTTTTCCACACAATGATAGGCACATTGATTATTAGCCCAAAGAGCTATTAATTTCATTTTGGCATTTTGCACTGATTCCCTTGTGTTGATTCATTTTTCGAACTGTTGCCACCAACTATTACAGCCCTGTATCATATTTAAAGAAATTAAATAATTAAGAATCTGCTTAAATATATATGTGTTTCTCCCTTTGTGATAAAACAACAGTACCTAAAGCCATCAAATTTTGAATAATGTAATCCTCCAGTGAATATGGGCATCTGAAAGCCCTAATTTGGAATTTGTTTTATTATCTGTTTCATATTTTGTCAGACATTAAAGAATTTTGATTAAGAAACTCAACAATTTCGAAACAAGGAATGGCAATATTGTACAGGAAAAAAATAAATAAATAAATAAAATAAAAAATTTTTAAATAAAAAATCTCCAGTGTGCAAGACTGTGTATTGGAAATTCTAAAGATATGCTCATTTTAAAATTATTTTGCGGTGTTGCTGTTGAACTGAATTTTATGGTTTAAGTGTGAAGAACACAATATTTAGTAAGTAAAGATAACACACAAAATGTTAAAAAAACTCATCCTTGGGCATAATGTAATTTTATGGGTTTTTTTTTTTTTTTTTTTAATTTTTGTTTTCATAATACTTAAGGATACTTTGGTAAGTAAAAGCTTTTCATACTTATTAAGGATTTACTCAGAATAAAAGTGTAAGAAAATTACAAAACAAAATTAGCTGAAGGACATAAAATTTAGACCATCTGAATAAATATTGATATATATTACATCAGAGTTCTATTATAAATATTTCATGCAGTGTAAAGACAATTTGGATGTTTTTTTTTTTTTTTTTTTAATATTTTTTTATTTATTTTTAAAGCATTACTGCGCAGTGCAAAAACCTTATCTTGATTTTCTGTATTTCAAGTTTGGTAATTATGTCATATCAGCAGCAACATCTACTGAACTCTAAACAAAATAAAACAATAACTTGAAATTACTGTAATATTTTCTATAAATCATGTACTTTTGATAATTTAATTTACCTATCAGTTATGTTAAAATATCAAGGATTTGATTTGTGTCCTTTGTTATATCATACCTTTACCAGGTAACTGAGTCATCTGTATTGCTTGTAAAGAGAATAATATAATTAAAATGTTATAATTGATTTGCTTATATATATATATATGTATATATTCCCTTCTATTTTAAAATTTGTTGTTTTTTGTAATTTCTGCACTTTTTTAATACATTTAATAAGTTTTTTTTTCATGCATGTCGTTTCATGCATTTACAGTAATGAATTTGAATTTTTGAGTCTTATTTTGGCATTTGTAGATTTACGACAACCTTATAGAGGTCGACTGATAAATGTTGGGAAATGCTGTGGAAATGAAGACAATTATATATGGACTATTTCACTCAATGAAAATTCTGAGAAAACGCCTCTAGTTTTGCTTCATGGATTTGCTTGTGGTGTGGGATTATGGGTGATGAATTTGGACAGTCTTGCATCTTCTCGCCCCATATATGCTATTGATATCTTAGGATTTGGGAGAAGCTCCAGGCCACCATTCTCTTCTGATGCATTGGAAGCTGAAATGCAATTTTTTATTTGTGAGTAATTTTTATTTACAATTTTATTTTAGGAATGTTCTTAGTTGTCTTTAAAAATGGGAAAATAATCTTTATTACAAGTACTAAAGAAAAAGAACAAAGTGTAGTATTTATAAACAGAAAAGAAGTTTATTCTTGAGTTAAATATTTTTTCATGTAATTCAGGTTTGGTATGTTTCAAGTTTATTTTTTTCCTTTAACTTTTTTCTTAAAAACAAAATATAAATTTTGATGTATGGAAAAAATTATGTGTTGTATAATTATTATTATCAGTATTGTATAGTTATGTAATTAATAAATATTGTTTGACATTGCTCCTAATAGTTTTTTGTTAAGAATAAATACATTTTTTTAGATTTAAAATATAAATTAATTTTCTGTAATTTTTTTGTGAGTTTTTAATAAAATTTCTGTCATTTTCAAACATTTTTAATTCAAAATATGATAAATTTATGGTGCAAACTAAAAGTATACATTACTTTCTAAGTCAAAAATCCTTTTCCAATTTTAATCATAATATAAGCAGCCCAAATCACAGTGCACTGATAATTTGTCAAGGATTCAGGAAAATGGCTGGCTGCATTATAGTTTTCATGATTTTCCCCATGTTTAATGCAAATATGAACTAATTTCCTGAGAAATGTTCTTCAAGAAGGCATCCTTTCTTTTAGACAGATAGCCTTGGTATACTTTGTTCTAACCCAAACAATCCAGGTCATACTATAATACATTATGTAAGTTAATTAAGATAAAAATTGTATTTTTCAATCCATATAAACAAGACTTTTGAAGAAGTATAAATCTTTATATTTCTAATGATTCAGATTCTATATTAATCATTCAAAGCTGATATTAACTTACGTGCTTGCAATTTGAAGTAATAATGAGACAATCAAAAAATGAAATTTGTTTTGAATAATGAGAAATTTTTTTCATATATGCATATGAAAACGTATCACCTTTCCCTGCAAAAGTTGAAAGCATTTTTTTTAAATCCACACTATGCATTATGTGCAGTTATGTAAATTAATTATATTTTTTTAATTGTGATTTAATTTTATGAAGGATAGTTTCCCAAATATTGTTAAATTTTGATTCTATTTTAGAACTACAAAGATTCCAAGTTTTTTTCTGCTGTAGGGAATAGGTTTCAATCTTCTTTCATAAAAAAAAATTACTGCAACATTTAGTCAATAAGTCCTATTTTTTATATTTTTTGTTTGATAGAAAATCATACAATGACATCAGTTTGGAATAGATAATTCGTTATCGAACTTAAATACTTTAAAATATCTGACTGCAGTATTCTATATTGTTTTAAATTTGAGATTTTTTTTCAGCATAAATTTTCTGATGATTTATTTTTTGTTTTTTAATTTTTTTTTTTTTTTTTTTTTTTTTTTTTTTACAGCACTAGAAAAATGGCGACGAGCTGTTGGATTGGAGAAATTTGTTCTTCTCGGACATAGTATGGGTGGATATATAGCTGCTTCTTATGCTTTACATTACCCAGAAAGAGTAGCATTACTTATATTGGTAGACCCATGGGGTTTACTTGAAAAGCCTATTTCACTTATGCATTGCTATGAATTGGATAATTGGGTCAAATTTGTGGCCAGTTTTGTAAACGGATTCAATTTTTTAGCATGTGTGAGAGTTGCTGGACCTATTGGTGAGTACCTTTCAAAAATGTGTTTTGCTCATGAAGGATTAAAAAATAAAATATTTTTATTAATTTATGTGTTAAATAACATCAACAGAAGATTGAGAAATAAATAAAAGATGAATTTTAGAATGTTAAAGAAATTACAAATTAACCTAAATGTATCATATTTAGGTTAATTTCTCTCTAAACTTAATATTTCTTAAAATATTCTCTCTTAATTTAATATTAATTGTATTATAATATCTTTTTAATATTTCTCTCTAGACTTAATATTTCTTAAAAATGTCTTTGTGTAACAGCCAGTGAATTATTTCAGAACCCTTGGTAAGCTGTCACTCCTGTTAAATCAAATTTACACAAACCTGAGATTGAATCAACAACTTTCATTTGCTGGTGGTTTACAGATAAAAGAAAATATAGAACTTTGGTGATTACACGAAACTTGAAACAAATCAGAGAACTTGCCCTCTTACTGATGTACAATTTTCAGTGATTGTAATTCTTTAAATAAGACACCTGTCTTTGATCTTTAGCTAACCAACTATTGAAGGGGTCCACTCTTTAACTAGGATGGGAATGCTACACAATGAAGCCTGCCTGACCATCTCTACTTCCTTTTTAAACAGCTAAAATGATGTGATCCCAACAGGAAGGAGCTGTTCATGTTCAGTACATGAGCTGCAATTAGATTTCCATGTTGTTTAAACTTTTTGTGTGTGGTGGTGTATATGTGTATAACTTTATAATCCAATTCTATTTACATGATATGGACTGAAGCAATGATAGGACAGTATTTAACTTAATTGATATTAGAAGTTAAAATAAATGTCACAAGGTGTGTTTATATAAGGTATATTGAGATATGTATTGGTATAAAATATATAATTAAAGACAGGCATTCAGCAATTAATTAATAAAAGTAAAGGTGATACTTATGAATTTACAAAAGAATATGCTACATGAACTAATTGTTAAGACACCAATAATTAGCAACATAATTGGTATACCCTAAGTAAGCATGCAGTGTGCTGTATACTGTGTTTGAAGTTGAAAATTCTTTCACATTCTCAGCTAAAAAATAAAGGTTATATTAAAGCCTTTTGTCATGTAGTAAGTTAATTTATTAAATTGTATTCCATATTTCAGCTACGCACATCCAACAATAACTGTTTATTTAAATTAAGGGAGTTGATTAGATTTTAAATTAAAGGAGTTTTATGTTTTTATTAAGTTAAACTTTTATCTACTGTTTTAATTAATTTGTTTTAGTTTTCCATTTTGTTTAAGTCAGATGTTTGGCTTTTGGGTCCAAGGCTTTTGTCATTTGAAAAAGACAGGTGTATTAAGTAATTTTTTAGTATTATTTGAGTTTAAGAATACAATTTATTAATTTATCAGTTTGAAGTTTATGCGGTGTGCACAGGAAAATTTGGCCTTTTTGGTGAACTTACATTTCCTATTCTAGGATAATTACTTGAGAAATTATTTGCAAATAAGTTTATATTTTTATTAGAAGTAAAGACTTTTCATGTTTCAAAAATCCACTTTTGGTACTGTTTCTAAGTTTTGAAGCTACTTACTTAACAGATGTTTTATGCTTTCTCATGTCCTCTCTTCTGGTTGATTTCAAGGAGATTTTTTTGGGGGGATGCAGCATGAAAAGGGTTACTATTTTATTTGACATGGTTAGCGTTGAATATAAATAGTGTTGAAATGAAGGAAGGAAGAAGTAGCCTGAAGGAAGTCCATTATTTTTGGCCCCAAACACTCTTTGAAAGTATGGTGCATGCTCTACAGAGCAGATTTTCAACTAATTTGCACAGCTAAAATTATTTCTGCTGCTCTGTAGTACACCTATTGTGTTAGGTGCAGCTAGGGCAGTACTTAGCGCTACTACATTATGATCTGGCACTGACCAGCTAAAACTGTTATCTGTGATGATGAGACTGATCCCATGTAGTCTTCCATGGCTTTAGCCAGTGTCTTCCAAATGACCAGATTCTCAAAGTGGCATTTTTTTCATCCTGATTTGTCTGACAATACTTTGGATTCCTGTCTGAGCTCTAGTGATATCCCATCTATACTTTGTCATTTGCCCATTAACTGCAGGCTTAATTGCAACTGCCTCATAAAAACGCAACAGATGAGCAGATGCCCTCTTCATCAGGAGAATTTCAGTTTGCTAAATACATTCCCATCTGAGGATCAGATGGTTAGTACTAACAGCTTTTTTACCTGAAAAAGACTGCTTCAGTACCTTGTCAACATAGTCGGCAGATAAGTAGCTTCTAAAATTTTGAATAGCATGTGTTTCATTGATATAAATTCCTGTCAGTTTTTAAGAATTTAAACTTCTCATTATGCATTAGATATCATTATTCTTAAGGCATTAGATTGATGTTTAAGATATTTTCTTATTATAACTGTTGAAAATAATAGTTTTTTATGTGTCAGTAAATGATAGGTGTCGTGCATATAATAGCTTTTTAATGCAGTGGTTTTAAATAAATCTCCTGAGAGGTTTTCTTTTTGTTATCTGTTTTAAATTATGCAGTTAGAAAATAAATAATTAAACTTGAATGAAATAAGTTGCTTTTATTTGTTTTCAGCAACCAAGCATTCTTGCTAGCCTAGTTTATTACCAATGTTTAGTTTTTAGTTTTCTTTAATACACAACAGAACAAAATGCTATGCTTCATGTATTTGAATTTTTTCTTCAGTGTTATAGTGTTTCAAATTTATTTACATTATGTCTGCACCTATTGCTAATTATTGGGTTCTTGAGAATTTAATGAAAATGAATTAATTAACTGATATTTTATTTTGGTTTCTGATACACCAGAAATGTCAAGATGGAAGGAAATTTTTCCTGCTGTTCATTCAGAAGATTGCTTAGATTATAACACAGAGATTATTAATTCATATTTTGTTATGTGATGTGTGATATGGAGTAAATATTTATTTGTGGCAACCTTCAGTTATAAATTTTATAGGCATTCAGCATATGGATCAGAAGCTTTAAAAGTCAGTCTTTTTAAGATCTGTCCTACTAAAAAGAAAAGGTTACCAAAAAAGGGGGGAATTATTTTAGAGCATTATAAACAGAGATTTTATTTTCATTTCAAGAAATTTCAAGTTTGCAAAGTTTCATGAATCAAAAAACACAAAATATGTAGTATGCATTTTTCTAAAATTTATAGTATGCATTTAATTATTGTGCTTTTATTGCGAATGTTTATATTTAGAATTTAACTCTTTCTGAAATTAGATGATATTTTGAAGTGCTCTTAAAGTACTATCTATTAAAATGTGTGAAGTATTTTTAAGTATTCATCTGTACTTTCATGTTTTATTCATACTTTTCATATTTTTTTCATTGTTGTAATTTGTTGTTTCAATTTTTTAATTTAATAATTTTTTGTTGTTTTAATGTTTTAAGGTTGTTTTAATTTTTGAATCATTGTTGTTTGTAATTTGTTTGTTGTTTTATTGTTGTAATTTCATTGTTTCATCATTTAAGTTGTAAATTTTTCATTTTAATAATAATAAATTTATTTTTAAATGTTTAAAAAAAATTTTTTTTTTTACTAGGTCCCTATTTAGTAAAACAATTTAGGAATGATTTGAAGAAAAAGTATGGACATTTTATGAATGATCATCAAGTAATTCTGAGCTATGTATATCATTGCAATGTCCAAAATCCCAGGTATGTTTTTTGTCTGAAAAAAGTTTCTCTGTGTGTAAGAATTATTGTTTTTCTGAAAAGGTGTAGTGTGTGCATAAATTATGTGAAAATTTTCAGTTCTAAAATTTTAAAAGATGTTTGTTTTTTGCATGGGAAGGTGAATTCAAAAATATTTAATCAAAATGAAAAGGTGCTATTCTAATATCTTAATCCTGCAGCTGATGTTTAAAATAAACTTTTGAATTTTAAAATGTTGCCATGAAAATAAACAAAGCGGGTAAAAGTTACCAAGAAGTCAGAAATATAGATAGCATTACAAATTATGGAAATTTCACGTATTGCATTTGGGTTTGCATATTGCACACCCAGTACCAATTTATGAAGACTCTTTTTTTTTTTTTTTTTTTTTTTTTTTTTTTTTTTTTTTTTTTTTTTACTAGACATATAGGAAGTTAATGTGAAAAATACTTTAGTGGTATATTTAAAGTTCTCATTAGTGGATCAAGAGTTCAAAACTTGCAAATCGTGTGTGCCACGTGAATAAAATGCATCACTAACTTCATGCACAGCATAAGCAGCAGAACAGAATTAAAATTTTTAAAAATATTTTAGTGAATGAATGAAATCAGTTGGATTTGTTCTTTGAAAATTGTACTGTAAGTTGCATTACCTGTGTGTTATAACTAATTTTCAATTTTCTCAAAGAATATAATTGATAAAATGTTTTGATTACTATATATTATGCTATAAAGAAAATAAACTGAAAATTTTATAAAACAACCTAAGACAGAAACAGCTGCAAAAATGCAGAAGAAGAAAGCAAAGTGAGCCAATTCTTCAGAGAAAGCTGGACAAGAGCAAAAAGGTTGAAGCAATAATTCTCTAATTCCTAGAACAGTATCAGAGTTTAAATACACAGAGTAAGAATATAGGAAAACTATTGAAATAGCAGACTCAGCATTAATGTTTATGCTAGAATGTGTATAACAAAACACTATTAAGGCAAACACTACATACTTAGCTCATATAAGCTTGGAGATGTGAAAATCTCGAAAGATGCATTCCGTGCAAGCTAAGCTGAAATTAGGAAAATATCAAGAATAAGGAAAATAATACTCATAGTCAATTAATTGATGGAAGAAATGGAGGCTGAACGTAAAGAAAAAAACAGCCTGGAAATCCCCAAAGAAAGTGGCAAAAATTGCCCCTGCAGAGATGACTGAAATTCCACAGCAGAATAAATTTTCACAGATTTACCAACTGAGAATGAAATAAATAAAGAATGAGTGAGAAAAATACTTCCTAAAATTGTAATCAGTGACTCTAACTGGGGCTAGGTAAATTAAGAATTAAGGGTGATTTGTACAGATCAATTTAAAGTAGATATGAAGAAAACTTTCTTTTTTCATCTTTGCAAAAAATCAAACTGACCATTCCTGCAAAGTCTTCAGAAAAGAAATATTCCTTTTCATTCATATTGTAATGAAAGCGATAAACCAGTAAACATTATTGTTAAAAGAATTTCCAAGAAGATTTTTGAGAAAGGACAGAAAAGCTAGACATTACCCCATCATACGGGTAAAGCAGTTTTCAAAGAAAAATAGAGATACTGCTGAGAAACTGCTGATATATCTACTAGAAAAATGAAGCCAGAAAAGCAACTATAATCAACATTCTAGGCATTCATTGTAAGGATAGAGGAATTTAAAAAAAAAAAAAAGCCAATACAGTACTATAAATGCCAGAGGTTTGGCCATAGCTTCAGCACTATAAGATGTGTGAAATGTAGTTTAAACCATGGAAATGTTGAATGCCCTCTGAAGAAAAAAGAACATCCTACTTGTCTTCATTGCCAAGGACTCTCTATGGGCAGTAATAGAGGGTGTCCCGAATATATAAAGAACCTTCTGAAACCTTGAAAAGAGGAGAAGCAGACAGAAAGATAAAATTCGAATGACAGATGGAATTTTTCTCTTGCTGGTCAAGAAGTGTGAAGAAAAAATCCCAATCAGACAGACTCGAAGAAAATACAGGGATACGCTTAGTAATGATAGTTCAGAAGTAACAGAAACTGATGAAAACATGCATGAGTTACACATTTATGAGTTACATTTATCATTACCAATCATGAGTTACATATTTATCACCAGCAGATATTTTTGAAAGTAGCAGAAATACTCGTAAATTTTGCAGGAGAAGAATAATTGCTGATAACTGTGTCATCAGCTCAACAGCAATCAGAAATGAAATCAGAAAGAACTGACATACTTCTTTACATATATTTCTGACACATACACTGACATACTTCTTGCATACATATCTAGTGACAGCTGAATTTTTTTCACCTGGCGGCATGCTTTGCATGCTTAAAAATTAACTAACTGCCACTGCTATAGTGCAGTACTACTTCACATTGGGCTTCACTTAGGGCAATACTCCACTTTAATCACAATATTTGTTAAAGCTTAATCAGCTAACTGCTAATTCTACCCCTAAATTTAGTTCTTTTGAATATTTATCAGAATGATCGGTGTGAGTGTGTGGGATCTCTACCAGCTCTTGTAGCCAATGGAATTCAATAATTCCCCCCAATAATATCTCCATATCCCAGATTTCACATCTACTTAGTAATATATTTTCCCCCCTAAATGGCAGGCACTAGCCATTAAGCCTATTAAGCCAGAAAGGGTGGGTCACTTTATAATGGGACACATAATAGGTGGGTCATCGTTCCCTCCTATGAATGACAGACAGTTTACATCCATGCCTTCTCCAGCATTTAAACATGGTCCTTCAGTAAGGCAGTCCATGTCACTAGTAGCTACTTTCTAATCTGGTTGGCTGGAATTCCATAATTGAATTAGATGTTTTACAATGAATGCAGTTTGAATTCTTATGCTGTGTACTGCCAAATTATTGGGTTGGAGGGAAAGTTCTGTCGTATTTTAAAGAAAATATTTGAATTCATTTATAAAAATATGTGTTTAATATTAATCAATTATATATGCTCCGTTATTTGTTACAACCTGTTGCCATCTTCCAGGTAAACCTGTAAATTCCTGTTTTGTAGAAGTTCTCATCCATGGAGTTTAAAATAGTCAGCAAACCGCCTTAGAAACACTTTCAAAAGACTTGAATTTTTTCCCGTTAGATAATTTTGAAGAGATCTGAACAGGTAATAATCAGAGGGTGCAATGTCAGGTGAATACGGGGGGTGACTAAGGATTTCCCATCCTAATGCATTCAGTTTTTGTAGTGTCACCACTGCAGTATGCGGGTGAGCATTATCATGATGGAACACTATTCCTTTTCTGGACGCTAATGCTGGCCTTTTTTCTTTGATAGCTGCATTCAATTTATCCAGCTGATTGCAGTACAGATCCGCGTTGATGTTTTTTCCCTGTTTCAGCCAACTCGTAATACACTGGACCTTTCCTGTCCCACCACAACAAAGCAGTACTTTTCGTTGATGGATACTTGGTTTTGGAACTGTTGCTGATGATGTTCCTGGTTTGCAGTAAGATTTTTTTTCTTTTAAATATTCTCGTAAAGAATCCACTTTCATCTCCAGTAACCAGCCTGTCCAAAAACGGCTCCACATTGTGTCTAATCAGATGTGATGAACATATTCTTACACAATCAGACAAATTCTTTTCCGTTAATTCATGTGGAACCCAAACACTTTGCTTTAACACAAACCCAAGAGATTTAATGTGATCTTCAACAGTTGTATGATGAATGCTAAACTCATCTGCAATTTCTCGACTTGTTAAATGTGGATTATTTTCCAACATGGATCGCAAAACATCATTATCGATCTTGGATGGTCGTCCAGATCGACACTTTCTTTGAGGCTCAGGTCCCCGGAACGAAATTTGCTAAACGATCTTTGACAAGTACGAACATTTACAATATCTTTTCCAAATACCGCACATAAATTTTACATGCAACAGATGCGTTGCTTCCTTTTTGGAATTCATATAAAATGCAGTGTGGTAAATGCACTTTATCTACCGACATGTTTTTTCTCTTTAATATTACAAGTAAATGATGAACAGTAAAAAGGCACCTTTTATATTATACAGCAGCTAAAAAAACAAAAAACAAAAAAATCCGATTGACTCACTAGCCAGATGTTTTTTTTTATTTACAAGAAAAATCACCTGCCTATTTAAAATACCACAGAACTTTCCCTCCAACCGGATATTTTATCAATAATTTGGCACTTTTGAGATGAGTTTGTCTAAAAAAAATTGATTTGGTGATTTCCGAATTTTGTGACAATTTTTTAATTAGTGTAATAAAGTTACCCCAGGATTAAAATAATGACAGTACATTAAAATTATTTTTAGAAAATAATATTAAAATAAAATATTTTTATTTTCATCTGTCATTTTTAAAAATGTCTGCCATTCATTTTGGTGATTTTTGAATATCTTGATTTTGATATTTCAACAAGATAATAAATGGTATAAAGCAGAATTTTCAAATTATTTTAGCAAAGCCAAAAGGTATTATAATTTTTAAAACTAATTTTAGTATTATCGCATTGTCTGCAGGACCGTGACAAGAATCAAAGGTGCTATGCCATTAAAGTAGGAAACCTGAAATTTCACAAAACTGTATTTTATCTGGGAGCCCACTAATGCATGCACTTTTGGAAATCAAGGGCTGTGTTTGTGATTTCTGCTTATGATTAGTATTTTTTTTTTTTAATATTTTTTTGTAGCAAATCATAGTGCCTGCTAATGAAAAGAAAATGTTACATTTTTTCAGAAATACTGTTTGAAGCCTGATATCCAGACTTGTTAGGACTTCGGCTATTCTGGATTTGGGATTTTACCACATATTAGATCATCAATTTCAATCAAATCAGATGAAATGTAGAAATTATAAAATTAAAAATATGGAACAGTGATTTATGAAAAATGAAATAATAAGCATTTATTCCTTAAGGAAATCAAAATTTACAACAACAACAACAAAAAAGAAGAAAAAGAAGAAGCTTAGTATTTATTTGT